TCATGAATTCATGTTACGTGAGCTGTTAATAGAAAAGTGATGAGAATGGAGGTGGTCTCAGAAGCTGGGCAGTGTCCATCTGTTGCTCTCAAGTTTCTGTGATTGGTATCTTTATTTTCCTTTGCCTTTTTTGATTACTATCCTTTTCTGGATACTTCCTTTTTCTTTTGTTTATTTTCTTTAGTTTGACCATTCAGTGTGTTTATTGTTTGTGCACTCCTTCAGCCATGGATTCCTGGATCCTGGCACATGCCAGGAATCACTCTGGGAAAAATGCCGAGTGTATTATGATGTAGGTGGGAAGGACTCATGCAAACATCCTTGCTCTGATAGAGGTCTTGCTAACTATACGTTTCATAGAGGAAACAAAGCAATTCAGTGAGTGGGGGGCAGTGGAAGGATGCCCAAGAGTGAAGATGGGGTCTGGATGGAGGCTGCAAGGAGTGGAAAGGAGAGGCTGATGGCCGTGGTGTGGGAGGGTTCCACAGGAGACAGAGGCTGGGCTGGTGGGGAGGCATGTGAGCACAGGTATGCTTATGCACTCCTTGTTGTTTGGGTGATGCGGGGAATGAAGTGGGAAGAGGGATGTGGATCTAGAAGAGCTCTGCCGGAAGGCAGAAACCCAGTCTTGAAAGCACCTTCACCCTGGGGCTGGCACTGTGGTGTAGTGGGTTAAGCTGCAGCCTGGGACACCAGCATCCTATATGGGTGCCGGTTCGAGTCCTGGCTGCTCCACTTCCAATCTAGCTCCCTGCTAATGGCCTGGGAAAGCAGTGGAAGATGGCCCAAGTGCTTGACCCCTGCACCCACATGGGAGACCTGGAAGAAGCTCCTGGCTCCTGGCTTCACCTAACCCAGCCCCAGCTGTTAGGGCCATCTGGGGAGTGAACCAGCAGATGGAAGATCTCTGTCTCTCCCTCTCTCTGTAACTCAACCTCCCAAATGAATATATTTCTTCAAAAAATTTCTTTGACCATTTGCTGGGCCTTCCTTTCAGGGTCATTGCCGTAAGCAGCAGTGCCTCCACTGCAGGCCACATGTTGCATGGAGTTTGTGTTAATCTCCGGCCCAACTCGGCTCAGCCTGGCCTCACTGCCTCCTGGGGGAAGTCCAGCCTATTTTATTCACTCTGTTAAGTCATTTGCTCAGCCAGATTTGCCTGCTTTGCTTCTCACACACAATTTGCTCACTTCTCTCTCTTAGCTCCCAGTTTCAGAATCCTCCCAACCTCTAAGATCTCCCTGAAATTCATGTCCTGTACTCAAACTTTTCTCTACTCATGAGTAGACTATAAAACTTTTCTCTACTCACGAGTGAGTGATTTCACCCCTTCACAGTCAATGGAGTCTCATGTCATCATTTCCCCGTGCTCCTTTATATCACAAGTTAGTGTGGGAACGCTCTCGGGAGGACGGCCCACGTGTTGAAGAGAAAGGCGGTGCACCTATTAAGCCTCCTGCTTAGGCTGAAAAAGCAGCTTCTTGTGGTCAGGAGACACTGCATTGATGTTTGTTAAACGAATGGAGGGAAACCGAGCTCCTTTAATTTGTAAGGCTGTTACGGAGGTGGAACTGAGGGATTGATTAGCTGTCATATGGAGAGGCAGTGGTTAATGTAATGTCCAGATGAAACTCTTGCAGGGCAGAATAATTGTCAGTGAAGGTAGAAGGATTAGGTTAAACAAAAGGCAGGACTATGTACAGAGGAGCGGGGCAGTTTAGCTGAAAACCAGTCAAGCTAACGTAAGATTTAGACACGGGAAGAAGACACTGAGAAATCCACACAATCACTCTGACAGTGAGTGACAGATGGCATAACAGGTAAAAGCAGTGCATTGCATTAAGAGGCTGGGCATCATTATGAGAAATGGCCCCTGGAAGACCTTGATTCAATTTGAGGCTTCTCTGTTACAGATCTGGAGACAATCACAAATTCAGAAATATATTTAGGAAACTCTGGTGCCACTGAGCTCCAAAGACCATAATCCTATTAAGTTGAGATTTTGAAAAGGGTAAACATGAATAGCTGAAAAGAGATATTGATTAAAGAAGTAATATGAACAGGAATAATGGAATTAAAGTAATTGAGGCAATATTGGGCCTAATGGACCTTGTTCTCCTCATGCCTGACTTCTGCTTGTGTATCGAGTTGGCTCTGAAGTCGATCAGGCTGTGTGCACCGAGAGAGAAGGACACGATGGAAGAATTAGTATTACTGTCTATAAAAAAATCAATCTGTTGTTCTTTCCGAAGAATATCAATCAGTCTGTGAAATCAGTTAACTGGGATTTCTTATTTGCTTATTAGATAATCAGACAAATGATAAGAAAAGACTGCATGCCTTGTACAGAGTGGATACTCAGTAAATATTTCCTGAATTGAAAACCAAAGGGTATGGTGGTTTTACTGTAAAACCTACTGCAGTAGAAAGCCGTTATCAGCACTCCTTCAACCCCATCGCCTGTATCCGTAGTACTGTAAATGTGGACTACTCAGTTTTATCGATTCTTCCTCTAAAGTGAGTTCTTTCACTTTTCATACTTCCAGGCAGTCCTGGCCAGCTGCGTGTGACCTTGGCTACTGGATTATTTAGTTTCTTAACTGTTTCCTGTGATCAGATTGTCTTCCCTATGCAGTACTGGTAGAGCACAGTTTTTGAAATATCGCTTTGATGACACTACTCCCTGTGCAGAAATTTTCACTGTCTCCTCTTTGTCTACAGAGTCGCAGTCGCTGTACTTCAAAGTTCATTCCATGCTCTATGGCTTTGAAGAGCTTCTGCATTCTGACTTCTCCTGCTACCCAGCCACACTTGACTTCCACCAGTCCCCCGGGGGGAGGATGGATTTGTCTCTTTATGGGTCATCCCGTTTTTGAACATGCACAATATACTACTTGGAATTCTTCCTCTTATGTCTATGTCCATCCAATTAAAGTCAATTCTGCTTCTGGCTATAGTTATATTCCTTAAAACTGTGCACTATCAAAATTGTGTTATAAAGACAGTTATTTTAGCAGTATCTGATGTTAGGGATTAGGGAGTTTCATGTGCAGAGTAACAAAGTTGTTTTACCTTGAGGTTATTTCGATGGTGATACTTTCAAATCTCTGTAGGAATATATCCTTAAGACCTGAGCATCATTAAAAAAAGTATTTCACTGTATTTCTTTTCATAAGGTTATACTGAACTAAATGTTATTTTTAAATTATGTCAACATCATAATGATCTGCTATTATGAGAAACTGAATAAGGACATGTAAGGCAGCCGTGTTGGATACAGGAGAGCTTTTTCTTCTTATGCCAGCAGGCTTGTGTGCATAAAATACATTGCATTCCCCAATGCATTGATCACCTTAGCTCCGGTACAATTTATACAACCTTTGTGGAAGAAATGATCAGAACGTTGTTTTTCAAAACTGAGTTTAAGCCCTATTTTCCTCCATTAACTTGGGCCCTTGCCTCTTTATTGATCTTTTGCCAATGGTGTTTTTCTCCCCTGAGTTCTGTCTTGTAGGTTGGCTAACAATTTGAGGACCCCTTTAATAGTTTACCCTTTTGATAATTTTGAGAGGCTCTTCTGAAATAAGGACATATTTTTATTTCCCACAGTGTCCAACACATTATGAGGCTAATGAGATCTATTAGTTTATAAGAGGATGCAGTTACTAAATTCAGTTTTACCTAAATCCGCAGGTGGCCATTTTCCCATTTTCCTATTCCTCCTGGGCATTTGGCCTTGTATTAATGATGGAAAGCAACCGAGAGATCCCTGTTTCAACATTGGTGCAGAAGGGTGAACAGTGATGGCTAGCTTTAGTTATGGATGAATATATGTGCTGATTCTTGGCCTTTCCTGAAACTTCAGTAAAATGATATTTAAAGGATTTTTTTTAACAAGGCATTCACCTGGAAACACAAATAAAAGAGTGAATAGCCACAATAGTTTGGAATCTGGGATATAGATGGATTCCTTATAACTTATTTAGCAGATCCAAGAGAGTGGAGTTTTAGTCTGGAAGAGGAAAAAAGAAGAAATAACCCAATTTTGCTGATGAGTTCTTAGAAGCTGAGGATTGAGAACTCCCGGAAGTGAGGATGAAGACAGGTGTCCGAATAAGAGTATTCACCAAGGTTTGTATCTGCTCCCTAAATTCTCAGGAGCATTAACTAGCCCTCTTCCAACAGAGGGATGGAGTTTTGCATGGTTTCTACAGAGATGACAAAATAGAAGGTTTTTGATTTGAAGGTGTCAGGAAAAATTAAAAGTGCTACAATATGGTCTTGAAATTTTGTGGATTACATTGATTCTTTTACATCTTACAAATGGCAGCACTTTCTTCTCTCTGCCCTGTAGTCTGTGGGCAGCTGGGATGATACTTCAAGGCTGGGAGACTTCCAGGGGTCTTCCTTGGTAACCTCATGAAACGATAAAACTCAAGGATTCTAGCACCACGTGGTCCCCAGGGAAAGGCCGAGCACCGTCCTCAGCTAAAGCCCACATCGGCGATCAGTCTCCTCCCGGCCTCCTTGCCCACCTGGTGCTCCCCTGTGCGTGTTAGGAGAAGCCGAGTCATTGAAGAGAGGCCTCTGTCCTGAGAAACAGACCCCTGCAGGGAGAGGGAACTATTTGAAGGAAGCAGAATGCGGTAGGAAGTGGTATGTGTGTTTTTGAAGTGAACAGTAACCTTAAGAGTTTATCATCTTGATCATAAAACAGAAGATAGAACTGGGTCACTAACCCCTTCTCTACTGATCTCAGTTCAAAATGTTTGCATCTCTTAATGGCCAACACTGACCAGGAGCTGCAGCTGGGCTGAGTACCCTCCAGCCTCAGCACAATGTTGTGTGTCGTTTTAGCCTTTTCCCCCAACATTGCCTTAGTTGGCCTTCCCCCACCAGCCACTCTGCTTCCTGTCGTATGAGGGTCTTTGCCCTGGGTGCACATGGAATCCGTACCCTTCTTGTACTGAGTCACTTCATGGTGTTGGTGCTTGTCTCACCTCTGACAGAAGCTCCAGCGGCTTTGGGGAGTATCCATCATGTTTGTCCCAGCGCTACAGGCACAGGAAGAACTCAGCCATATCGCTGGGGAAGATAAGGCAAGCAAGCTATTCCAAGCACAAAACACCTCAGTGTTTATAAGGGCTGGAGGGTAAAGTTAAGGAAGTTTTCCAGAAAGTGGGGTAAAAAGAGCACATCATACAGAAACAAAGAAGGAGACTTGGAGGATTGGCTCACGGCCTGCAACATCCAAAAACAGCAATGGTAGATAGAGAGAACACTCAGTATGGCAGAGAACAGTCAAAGGCATAATTGACCAAAATTACCCGCAACCCAGGCTGGGAGCTTGCAGACCAAAGGAAAGCGGTGACACACCATCATGGAACTTTGCAACTTTGGGATGTTCTCCGGGAAGTGACAGGTGCTAGCTGACAAAAAGGAGACAGGGGTTTCAGGCAAAGACAAACAACAGAGTCCCCGAAGTGAGGGCAAAAGGGGTCTCCAGGTAACTTTGCAGGAGGATTTGTCGCCACCTGGCCTAAACTGCAGCAGGTGCAGGGGTCTGGCTGAGAGTTTTTCCAGATGATACAGTTGATAAAACACCTGCTCTGTTTGTGTTGAGAGGGGATTTACAAGTCTGAGGGAGATTGGGGGGCTAATAACATGACAGGCACAGAGGAAACCATGCCAAATTAAATACCGCCAAGATGAACTCCAGGGAAGACAGACAGACATTGAGAAAAGAAAGCGTTGTCCTAGAAGACTTCATGACACGGCGGCAGCTCTCATTCTGTACCCACAGATATTTCATACAGCGAACTTGTGATGTACTTCTCGGGGAACAGGAACCTGGGGATGCACGTGTGTATAGAGAGCACTGATACTTACTGTCCTCACTGGGTGATCAAAGGACACCACCTAAAAATGCAAAGCCAACAAAATTCAACACGTTACTTAAATCAGTTTATCTAAATGTCTACATTCTTGTGGCACACACAGAAACTGGTGCTAAATAATATAGTGAGCTGGAGACAGCAGTTTGGAGAGTATTATAGATTAAAAAGCTTCCAAATATTTTAAACATCTTTAATGAGAAACCTGAACTTTCTTTTGTGCTGTAGCTTCTTTTCATTTTGCTTATATTCCTGAAATGACTAAACACAATTCTTGGTCAAGATTTCGGTGGCTCGCTCTTCAAATTCTGGTTAGTCACTGTTCAGGTAGATACCACACCAGTAGCGATTTCACCATTTTGCCACTATTCTGCATTCTACAGCAATAGAATTAAAATTACCCTAAAAAGCTTAATAATTTTACCCTTTTCTTTGCTGGGTTAATGCAATATTCTGATAATTCTAATGGGTTTTAAATCCACCTGAATTTAGTGAAGTGATTAAAAATAATGATGAGACCCTAATTTGTAAAATGTTTGTATATTATTATAACAGTCATGTCATAGGTAGCTTGGATGCAGCAAAGGAGCTGCATTAGACCCCAATGGAGCACCTTAGACCCCTTCGTGTTGCAAAGATGGAAGTCTGGGAAGACTTCTCCCTGGCTTTTCCCAAAAGGTGCTCTCTCCCCCAACTTTTCTAGAGCCCTGCTGGCAACTGCCGCACCTGGCATACCTGGAACAAAACCTCTTCCTCCGGGAGCTACAGCAGCTGTGTGGGCTACCTCTCCACAAAGTGCCTTAGCAGCAGTCTCATTCACACCTACTTCTAATGCCTCTTGCTGGTGCAGTGAACAACGGGCCTTCAGACCCGAGCAGGTGACGCCAGCTGCCCCAGGCCCTACGTGACTGCCAAGGCCAAGGGGCAACAGCACCTCATAGCATAACTGGAACCAATTGATTTCACAGTAGTGAGCCAAGACCTACCAGTTGGGAAGCTCTGATTTCCAGATGTAGAAGAAATTCCACCATGATTATTTAAGGAATTGAAAGCACTTATCTCCATGCCTTGCACTATTTAACAATTGAGACTGTTACATGTAAATTGGTTTAAATACAGATGAAACTTTAAAAAGTCTGTCTCCTATGGTCTTATTAGGCCTTCCAGGCCTTCTGCCTTTGTCAACACTTTGGAGCATTGGAGAGAGCTGCTTTCAACACTGTTGTTCTGAGATGAGATGACAAAATGCATACAATGGTAGAAGGTCGCCTACTGTTTTAAATGGAAGGCTATTTAGTTTATGAATTATCTACATGCTCTATTTTGTTTCAGGGCTTAAGACAAATAAAGGAGCAATGTGTCTGAAGATAACAATCCTCATTGTTTTTCCAAAAATGGAACAACAGGAGAATTAATGGGAAGTGTATTTTGTGTTTTGCAACTTCAACTGGTTATTTTCCAGTGTCCCTTTAACGTGTTTCTAGGGAAGTTGGTAATAATGTTTCAGGAGAGGAGTTAAGAAACTGATAGTTGCTCTTTCACCAAAGTAGCTGGAAACGAAGAAAGGCCCTGTGGCTACGGAGTGGAGAGCACGCCTCCTCCGTGGAGGGCTCGGGACGTGTGACCCTCGGTGCCCTCCATATTCAAGACTGAAACTGGAAACAGTGGCCCTTTAATTTGCTGCTCACTTTATGGGCCTGCTGCTTTGTTCTCGTTTCTCAGGCCTCTACTCTGCCATCGCTAGGGCTTTACAGTTTTAGCCTGAGGTCTCTGTGCCTCATCTCTCTTTTTGTTCTTCACTTATGTTGCCTCTCCGGTTCATCTTCTGAGAGGTTCTGAACAATGTGTGCTGTGCACGGAATAATTTGGGTGAAGCTGGTGACATAGCTTGATGATGCTGAACCACTCAGAACCCTAGGCAGTGGTTCAGCTTGCGTTAGCAGGAGATTAATGCAGGTGAACGTTAAGGTCTTAATTTTTTAAAAATGTACATTTTTAGCAGTGATGATTGAAAAACATTGGCATTCTTTCTGCCTTCTATGCTGAATACACTTGCAAATACTTGCCAAAAGTGCTAGAATGACTTAGCTTTCCATAAGGGGCAGAGTATTATTTTACCCATGTAATGGCTATTCAATATTTAAAAAACAATTTTCCAAAAATATACCCATAACTGTATTGCCATGTGCATAAATCACCATTGGGGAATGTGTTCCGATGTGTGTGTGTAATAACAGTTGCTTAGATAGGTTTACATAAAGAATTTGCTGAGGGTGAATTTAAATGTTTGAGAGGTTACCATTTGAGACATCACAAGAAAAGGTAAAAATAGAGGTGCTTCCCCGTGAAGTCAAGAGAGTGATTACTCAGGTGGTTACAGTATCTTCTTCCTCCTGGATTTGCTGGGTATGAGTCCAGACCTTATGATTTGAATCAGGACTGGCGGAAAGCCATGGCGAGCTAGATACTTGTAGGGTGGGATCAAGGCCACCTATTAGCCCTTGAACTGTCTCAGTGGCCAATGAATGAGTGTTAGTTTTTAATGTTTAGAGGCATCTGTTCTGAGTGGAAACTGAAAGGAGGACCATAACGTGCTGGAGGGAGGGGCCAGGAATGAGAAGGAAGAGCTTGTCCTGTATGGAGAGCAGAACGTGGGGACTGGGGTGCAAGGGTGTGTGTGTGTGTGAGCTGTGGAGAGGAGATTCAGGGAGCCAGCTGTGGCTGCGCAGATCCGGGCTGATGCTGAGTTTCCAAAGGAACATTTGGAACATTTGGCAGCAAGTGACATGATCAAAATGACATTTGGGGGAGGTGATGCTTGCTGTGGGTTATAAAACAGCTCAGAGGGGCGGAAGATGGTGGTGCATGAGATGAAGGGTTGTGGAACAGGGAGTGGGGTTAGGGGTTGCACTTGCTGACAGGGTTGGCAGAGAAGGCAGAGGATAGAGACAGGTTACAGATAACTGAAGTCCAGCAGATTGCTGCCTTGGAGAACAGTCTGCATTCCCATCCGTCCCCAAACAGGGTATGTAGAAGGTGACCCAGCAGGTGTCCAGATGCCTTCTGTATTAGTTCAGTTCTCAGCTTGCAAGCGGTAGATGATGGGGAATGGAACAGTTTGCAAAAGAGAGGAATGTGCTGTGCCAATCAGTTCTCTGTTGGATGTGGCATGACACAGCCCATATCATCCATACCTCAGTGCAGGAAGGAGTGTGATCGTATTGAGAGGTCAGGGAAGGAGCACAGGTCCCAGGCTCAGCCGTGTACTTGCAGTGACTGGATCTGGGCACAGGGGCAGCACATACTGCAAGCTGCTGTATGAAAAAGCCACGGGACAGAAAGAGGCAGGGAGGGAGTGGCTGGTGACTCAGTCGTCCCAGGAGATTGTGTGAACTCCACTTGAAATGGGTATTTACTTCAACAGAGCAGATAGTCTGGGGTGTGTTTTCAGGCGATCCGTGAGAGGACAGTTTTGTCCCTCCCAGGACTTTGCCTGGAGAACTCAAAATATAAATACAGCAAGGCAAGCCCCCGGACCAGCCGGCCTGAGCAGATGTTCAGCCACCAGAAAGATATCGTTAACCTGTCCTCCTCCACTCGGGTTCTTCTGAGAGTTGACTGTGAACATTTTTAAATAGGTATCAGGAAGGAAATTTAAGAGAAATCCTGTACTCCAAAGTGGTTGAGCTTATTTAAACAAAAAATAAATCATTTTTCAAAGATTTATTTATTTATTTGAGAGGTAGAGTTACAGACAGAGAGAGGGAGAGACAGGTCTTCCATCGGCTGGTTCACTCCCTAAATGGCTGAAACAGCCAGAACTGTGCCAATCCAAAGGCAGGAGCCAGGAGCTTCTTCTGGGTCTCCTACGTAGGTACAGAGACCCAAAGACTTGGCCTGCTTTCTATTGCTTTCCCAGGCCATAGCAGAGAGCTGGATCAGAAGTGGAGCAGTCGGGTCCTGAGCCGGCACTCATAGGGGATGCTGGCACTGCAGGCAGCAGCTTTACCCACTATACCACAGCGCCGGCCCCCAAAATACATTATTTTTTAAATTGCAATTAGGATCCATCAGCACTCAGCCCCACCAGAATGGATTATATTACTGTGCCCTCTTTGAGTTCTAAGCTGGAAATTTTGTAGCAGTCAATGTTCACCAGCAAAAACAGAATCTATCCAGTATGTAGACACAC